TGCCTGGTCCTACACCATCCTTCAATTGTTGCCATGCTTGAGTTCAGTGTTGCAGCCACTGTGTCAGTACCTCTCGTTGAGGGTCTTTATATTTTTTGCTGACCCTCCACCAAGCATGTATCCTTCTCCTGAATTGGTCCTTCCTGATAACATGACAAAAGTATGAAAGACAAAGTCTGGCCATTCTTGCTGCTAAGGAGAATTCTGGGCTGTGTTTCCCAAGACAGATTTGTTGGTTCTTCTTGCAGTCCGTGGTATATTCAGTATTCTTCTCCAACACCATAATTCAAAGGCATCAGTTCCTCAGTCTTCCTTACTCATTGTCCAGCTTTTGCATGCATATGAAGCAGTTAAAAATACATGGTTTGGGCTAGGTGCACCTTAGTACTCGGAGTAACATCTTTGCTTTCTAATGCTTTCAAGTGCTGATTTCCCCGATGCAGTAAGTCGTCTGATTTCTTGACTTCTGCTTCTGTGGGTGTGGATCCAAGTAAAATGAAACCCATGACAACTTCAGTCTTTTCTCTGTTTATCATGATGTTGCTTACTGGCCCAGTAGTGAGGATTTTTGTTTTCTTTATGCTGAAGTGTAATCCACACTGAAATCTTCGATCTTCACCTGAGTGTTTGACATTCTCTTTGCTTTCAGCAGGCAAGGTTGTGTTGTCTGCATATCACAGGTTGTTAGTGAGTCTTCCTCTGATCCTGATGCTGCATTCTTCATATAGTCCAGGTTCTTGGATTATTTGCTCACTGTCCAGATTAAATAAGTATGGTGAAATGATACAGCCCTGATAATCACTAATTTTAAACCACGCAGCATCCCCTTGTTCTATTGGAATGACTACCTCTTTGTCTATGTCCATGTTCCTCATGAGCGTAATGAAGGTTCTGGAATTCCCATTCTTTGCAGTGTTATCCATAATTTACTATGATCCACACATTTGAAAGCCTTTGCATAGTCAGTAAAACACAGGTCAACTTCTTTGTAGTATTCTCTGCTTTTAGCCAGAATTCATCTGACATCAGCAGTGATGTCCCTCTTGAATCTGGCTTGAATTTCTGGCAATTCCCTTTCAATGCACTGTTAGAACTGTTTCTGAGTTGCCTTCAGCAAATTTTACTTGAGTGTGATAATTAATACATTGTTTGATCATGTCTGCTTTCTGTTG